TGTCACCTTGACTGGATTGAGAAGCACACAGGAGACCAGTGAACACACCTCTGGGACATCTGAGATGGTGTTTGCAGAGACGATTACATCATGAGCACTCTGGATGGATTAAAACTCCCTAATTCATTCATAGTTTGGTGCCATTACTGAGAGAGGTGAAGGTGGGAGGTGGGGCCTGGTTGGAGGAAGAAGGTCCCTGGGGTGTCCTTGAAGGGAATATCTTGCCCTGGCTGGTTCCTGTGTTCCTTTTCTCTGCTCCTGGCTGCATGATGGGAACTGCTCTGATCCACAACACCTCCCCACCATGATGGACTGACACCTCTGAAACGGTGAGGTAGAATAAATCTTTCTTCCCTTAGGTGATTTTTGTCAGGTATTTTGTCAGAGATGATAAAAATAATGAATACAAAAGATATCTTAAATTTTTAAAAAATTTTGAAAGATTTTAACCAAAACATTACTCTCCATCTCTATATATACTAACTTGAGCACAACTGTAAAAAGATTATGATTTAACATTTTTATGCTTTAACTTTAACAAATATGACAATAAGTAATATGACTTTAATAAATTTCCTATCAAAAGCAAAATATTACAATCAGATAAATATTTTCTCTTTACTTCAAAGACAGCATTACATTGAACATGGACCTAGGGTACTCAGATGTCATTTCACTCTTACCATACATTTTCCAGATCAATTTGTTTAAATAAATAGGTTGTTCTGGTCAACTTGACATTTTCTTTATTTCTTACATCTGTTCTAGAGACTTGACTTAGGAAACTAAATAAAGGTACTGTTTTTAGGAGCTTCCCTGAACCAGCATTTCTCTACATATAACTAGCAAAAAGATAAAAATATAAAGCTTTAGATAACAAACAAACCTCTTCTCAACTCAGCACTGGAATGAGTATGATTACGCTTAGAAAACATCAAGAAAAAGCCACTAAAAAAAGAAATCCATCTTTCCTCATCTGAGAGATTGTCAATTCTATACAAATTGGGATGGGTTGTGAGCATAACGTGAACCAAGGGCTGGGTTTTCACTTGACACAGCAAAATGTGTTCTTCTAGATACACGTTTGTCCAGTGTGGAATGATTTCTGTAATGAAAAACAAACCCCATTCCCTCCAAAAGAAGACATTTAAAAAGTACAGAATTTTGTAAATGTCAGACAGAATTTCCAAATTTACTGTGAACTACTGTTTTAAAAAATATTCTAAGAAGTCATATACGTGTATTAACTTGTGTCTACAGCATCACCAAAAAGTCTGGAGCAGTTAATGAACTGACCATGGCAAAGCTATCTTATACGTTTCCTCATCATAAAATAGGTCTACTATCTACCATGACATACAGTGACAGTGATGTAACAATCTAAGCAGTATCACAGGAAGGACGTCAGTACGTATCAGATGACAAAGGCACACATGACGGGCTATTACCACTAAGTGTTCTACCAATGCTGCATGATAATGAGTGGTGGCTGTTTCTGTTTCTCCCACACGTAGAGAAATTAAACAATATATCAAAGCTTGCAAATCAACGATGAAAAGCAGTAATACAAATGATGACTGCTAAGTAAAAGAAAGTTCATAAGCAAGAGTGACATTTAACTGGTGTATTAGCTTCATGGAGAATGATGAAGTTTTGAGTAAAGTTCCAAGTATTCCAGTGGATGGAAAGGGGTAAAAGAGGCAGAGAACAGGAATGAAAAGGGCACTGACTAAAAGAGGATGAGAAAGCCCTAGGGGAAGCACAATTTATGAGGGAGAAGAGAGCACTGCTGATGTGTCATAGTGACAGCACCTCAGCTTTAACCTCCACTCTGACCAACATGGACCTGTCACGTGTCCTGGCGGTGCCCTCGCTGGGTCACTGTCCTCAGAACCAGCTGGGCTTTTGATGCCCCAGGAGCACCTGCACTTGTGCAGCCGCCTACTTCCCAGGGCTGCAGAGCAGCAGTGCTGTGGGGACAGGGCCTGGGCACTGAACTTCCTGTGTCCTGTTACATACTCTCTGCCTGACGAAACCAACTGTCTTCCTTTCTCTGTTTTTGCTTTTCCTTCCTTTTTTTACACCCTTCCTTTTCTCTCCTTTCTTCCTTCATTCCCTCCTCCCTCCCTCCTTCTCTCCTTCCTGCCCACCTTCCTGCCTCCTTCCTTGTACTGGGTTTGAACTCAGTGTCTTGCCCTTACTAAGTAGGTGCTTTACCACTTGAGCTACACCACCAGTCCTTTTGTACTATTTTGCCCCAGCTGGCCTTGGCAGCAATCCTCCTAACTATGCCTCATGCATAGCTGGGATCACAGGGGTGCACAATCATGCCCAGCTTGTGTGTTGAGAAGGGATCTCACCAACTTTTTCCCAGCTAGCCTCAAATCTTATCTTCCTGATATCTGCCTCTGCCTTTTATTATAGGCATGCACCACCATGACTCAGCCTGCCCAACTAAACTTTCTCTGGTCCTATCTGTGCCCTTTCTTATAAAATCCAGTTTTAGCAAGAACCCCCACCCTCAATATCTGATCACTCTCTACAACTCATCAGGTTCATCATTCTCCATCATCACCCAGCTGATGTCTAATTACCCTGGAATATCTTTCATAAGAATCTTGTTAGCAAGAATCCCCTTTACTCTTTTTTTTTTTCTGTTCCTTTGAGACAATGTCTCAATAGGTATCCCAGGCTGGTCTTGAACTCACAATCATCCTGCCTCAGCAGACCAAATGCTGGCATCACACGGGTGTGCCAATAGGCCTTGGTAATCTTCATGGTACCTATTAGTAATTTTCTATCCATCAACCCCACCTTACTCTTTCTAAAATTCCCAACTACCCATGATGCATTCAGAGCTGCATGTAGTCTCTCCTACTGTGCTTCCAACAAGTGTCATTGAATGAAAAAACAAAAAGCTGTATGATTTTTGAAATTAGTACGTGGACAGTCACTAAGAAGGAGGCAAGTACTACGGGAAATGAAAGAAGCAAAGCTCCAAGTACACATTAAAAAATATTTAATGAGTGTCTATTATGGTTTTTTTGGATTTTTGTTTATTGTTTTGGCAGTACTATGGTTTGAACTTAGGCCTTTGCACTCTACCACTTGAGCCACAACCCCAGCCATGAATGTCTATTATGCAGGGAACTGTTTAGGTGCTGGAACAAAGTAGTGAATGAAAAAAGATAAAAGCCCTATGGTTATATCAGATTACATTCTATACAAGGAGAAGAAAATAATAAATAAGCAAAATACCTGGTCAGTAATATGTGCTTCAGAAAAAACCTAGGATCGAAGAGTCAGACATGTCAGGGTGTTGTAGGGAAGGGAGGGATGAAGTGGTGCATGTTAAATAGAAATAGACAGGAAACCTGAGAAGGAAGACAGATATGACAAAAAATCAAAACAATAACAAAAAAAAACCCTGAAGTAGAGGAAGGAGCTCATATTTATAACTTCTGTGCACTTATATTCCAAAATGGAAATATGTACCTTGAAACTAGAGCTGTGAATTCAAAAGCCTTTCCTATGAGGGGAGAGCAGGTTGCCCACAGCATCTAGAAGAGATTACACACACCAGACAAGCAGATCTTGGAAATACAGAAAAACACAAGAAATGAACAAGATCTAGAGCAGCCCTGATCAGTACTTTTGATAAAAAGCACTGTTATCAAGAGCTTGTAGATAACTGTTATGAGAAGATTACTTGAAGTCTGTAAGCTTGGACATTAAATGCTAGACACTGGATAAATAAGCCTATTCCATGATCCCAGAGTTCTCTCTATTTTTGGGAGATGAGGTAGAGACACAGAGCAGTTAGGGAAACACGTAAATTACATGCCTGTAATCCCAGTGCTTAGGAGGTATATAGCATGACCCTGTCTCAAAACAAAAGAACCAAATGAAAAACACTATGAACCAAGCTAAAACTAAACTGAGGCTCCATGAAAGAAAATTTTTCCTATAGGAAACTCAGAAAAGGGGTACCTATTTCTGTGAAAGGCACACTGAAATGTGAAGGAAATCAATCTTATGAAAGGCTTTCCTGAGGGAGAAAGGATGTAAGAACCAAACTGATGTTAAACTCTGCACTTGAAAACGGGACAAGAGAATCAAAATGACAACTAGATCTGAGATGGAAATAAATAGATAAAGACCCAAATAAGTTTCTCCTAGCACACAAGATTTGGGAAGGCTGTGAACATGTGTGTGGTAGTAAACTAGTTTTTAATCTCAAATTCCATGACATTGAGTCATGAGGAAAGGTCAGAGAATCTACAGACATTAAACAATGAAATTGGTGAGATGACGAGAAAGCCATTTTAAATCAACATTATAAATTGGCAAGCAAGACATCAAAATTGGGGCCTTACAGCTCTAGAATATGCAATAGTCCAGCAAGACTGTAAGTTAAAAATGTATCCAAAAGAACTACCCCAGTGAAGAAATACCATCTATTTTAATGCCATGGAATATGGCTTTTTTCATGACCTCTATATACTTTAGAAGTTCCAAAGTTCCCTGTTGCAAAATCTAAGATATTTACTAACTTGCCAAGTAGTTAATACTACCACTAAGAAAAGACAAAATCAAAACCAACTACCTCTTCAAGTTAGGGCGTAAAGATAAAGAGAATTAATGGTAAAAAAGAATACTTCCCATGATGGCACAATGACCACTGCCAAGAGCAGAGCCCATAGACTTGCTAGTGAAAACGTCACCCTACAGCGTAGATGCATGTACAGGGTAGATAACATCCCCCTTCAGACACGTTCTGTTCACCTCTCATTGTATTATGTCATGGCAATTTCCAGGCAGGTGATAAGAGTTCTTTGAACTGACCCCAATGACACTCTGAACGAGAAAAGCACTCAGTGCTTCCCTACAGTGACCAGGGGCGACTTTCAACTTTCCCACTTCCCAGGTCTTCAAACGTTCTTCCTTTTGGAAGAGGCTTATCTTCTACTCTGAGCTACACTCCCAGTATGTTTTCTCACCTTCTTGATGATGTTATTTTTGTTTGCTTTCTTGAGACAGGGTCTCACTGCGTAGGCCATGTTGTCATTGAACATGTGATCTTCCTGTCTCCACCTTCTGAGTGCTGGGACTTCAGAGGTACACCGCCACACCTGGCTTCTTGATGATGTTCTGTAAAGCACAAACCTCTTTAATTTTGAAGAAGTCCAATTTATATACTTTTTTCCTTTTGTCATCAATACTTTTGATGCTTCATCTAAGAGTCCAAGATTCACTCCTATGCTTTCTCCTAACACTTCCAAACTTTTAGTCTCACAATAGGCTCCATGAGCCACTTTCAGTAACTATTAATTTTTTCTGTAGTGCTAAGTATTAAACCCATGGCCTCATGCAAGGTAGGCAAGTGCTGAACCTTTGAGCTAAACCACCAGCCTGAGTTAAATATATAAAATTCATCATCTTAACTATTTTGAACATACAATTCAGTGGCATTTGATGTATCACAATGCTGTGAATCCATCATCATTATTTATTTTCAGAACCTGTTCATCATCCCATACAGAAACTCTGTACCCACTCACAATTCCCTACTTCCCTTTCCCTCCAGCTCCTAGTACTCTCCATCTTCTTTTCTGTTTCTATGAATCTGCCTATTCTAGATATGTCATGTAAGCAGAACCACAGATATATTTCTCCATTTGTGTCAGGTTTATTTCACTTAGCAAAATCTTTAGGCTTCATCCATGTTGTATCATGAATCAGAATTTCATTTTTCCTTGAGGCTGAAAAATATTCTATTATATGTTTATACCACATTTATTTATTCATTCACTTGCTGATGGCTACTTGGGGTGCTTCCAACCTTTTGACTATTCTGAATAATGTTGCTATGAATGATGTACAATGATTTGTCTGAGTCTCTGCTTTAATTCTTTCAGGTATAAAATAAGAAGTGGAATTGTGAAATCATATGCTAATTTTATGACAACTCTGAGGAACTACCAAATTGTTTTCCATAGAAGCTGTACCATTTTCCACACTGACCATCAATTTATGGGGGTTGTGATGTTGCCATACCTTGCAACATTTGTTGTTTTGCATTTTGTAAAAACTAGCCATCCTTCTGATGGATGGGAAGTTAACTGATGAGTTTTTAGATAGTTTGATTTTTTTTTTTTAGAAATATGCAAGCAATTAGTATTTTATTCTATGATGGATTCCACATTGTTACAACAAAATGAAAAATGAGAAGACATGGTCTACATTAACAGAGGTGAAATGTATAAACATACTTAAGTTACAACTCACAGCAGAAAGTATAGCTATTTCTTACTATAGTTTGAGAAAAATTTTTTTTTGTCACAAACAATACATAGAAGGATTTTTGTTTTGTTTTTGGTGCTGAGGACTGAAGTCAGAGCCTCTAGGATGCAAGGCAAGCAGTCAACCACTGAGCTACATCCCAGCTCTCATTGTGATTTTTATTTACATTTTCCTAATGATTAAAGATGTTGAGCATTTTTCATGTCCTTATTGTCCATTTGTATATCTTTTACAGAAAAATGTCTAGTCCAGTCCTCTACTCAGTATTCAATCATATTATTTGTTGTTTTTGAGGCATAGTTCTTTATGTGTTGTGCATACTAAATTCCATATTAGATATATCATTTGGAAAATTTTCTCCCATTCTGTGAGCTAATCTTTTCACTCCCTGGACAGTGTTCTCTGATGTACAAAACTTGTTCTGTTTTTCTTTTGCAGTACTGGGGATGGACCCCAAGGCTTTGTGTATGCTAGGCATGGGCTCTAATACTGAGCTACATCTCGAGCCACAAAAGGTTGCTGTCTTTTAGGAACCTGGGATGAAACCCAGGGCCACACATGCTAGGCAAACTGTTGTAGCACAAGAACTTTATTTTTAGTTAGGCCTCACTAACTTTGCCCTGGCTGGTCTCAAACTCATAACTTCCTGCTTCTGCTTCCTACGTGGCTAGGATGACAGTCATCCATCATCACACCTTATGCACAAAAGGTTTAAGATTGATGCTGGGTGCTGGTGGCTCACGCCTGTAATCCTAGCTACTCAGGAGACAGAGATCAGGAGGATTGGGGTTTGAAGCCAGCCCGGGCTATCTCGAAAATATCCATCATAAAAAAGGACTGGTAGAGTGGCTCAAGGCGTAGGCCCTGAGTTCAAGCTCCAGTACTGCAAAAAAAAAAAAAAAAGTTTTTGAGATTGATAAAATCTAAGTAGGTATCTTTCTCCTCTACTGCCTGTGCTTTCGGTGTCATCTCTAAGACGTCATGACAAATTTCCCCTATGTTTTATATTTTTAGCTCTTAAGTTTTATCTTTAATCCATTTTTAATTTTCTTTAAAAGGTACAAGACATTCACTCTTTTGCATGTCTAGTTTTCCATAATTATTTGTTGAAAAAGACCATCATTTTCCCCATGAATGGTCTTGGCACTGCTGTCAAAAATCAATTGAAGAATGTGAGGAGAAAACCAATCGATTCGTCACATGTATTAGGTTCATTTCTAAGTTTACTATACAACTTTGGGGTCTCCATGCACATCCTCAAATGCCAATATTGTTGTCTTTCCTTTTGTGGCATTGGGATTAAAACCCAGGGTCCCCCTTTTTATTTTGGTGACATTAGGGTTTAAACTCAGGGCCTTATGCTTGCTAGCCAGGTGCTCTACTGCACTCTAGGCTTTGTACTTGCAAGGCAGATCCTATACCACCTCAGAAATGCCTCCAGGTCTTCTGGCACTGGTTACTTTAGAAATAGGGTCTGTATCTGGTCTGGACTGCTATCATCCTATTTAGGGTTCCCACTGTTGCTTGGATGACAAGTGTGTGCCACTGAGCCCAGCTATAGGTTGAGATGTGGTCTGGCAAACTATCTTCCAGGGCTAATCTTCCACATAGCTAGGATTAAAGGCATGAACCACTGCTGCCAAGCTGAACACAGAGTTCTGTTCTTGCTTGGCAAGCACGCTACACCCCCAGCCCTCAACACACTTCTCAAATGAATCAGGAGGAAAAAGAATCATAAACTTAATCTGAACTCTAACATTAACTTGTTTTGTTTCCTCTTTTCTAAAGAGAAAGACTGGGCCAAAGGAATCTTACAACTCCAACAATCTAATGACTTTGTAGTCAAGACTTTCCTTCACAGAATAAGCACATACCATACACCGCTGATTTATCAAATGGTCATGAACTATTTCTAAAATGGAAAATTCCTAAGGCAGTTTAATAAATGTAAGTATAAAACATACACTTTCAATGTCTGAAACTATTAGCATCTGTGTTTGGGAGAGACCTTCTTGAAGACTGTACAAATGAATTCTGTGTCAAATGTTATGAAGCCATGAAATGTCTGCTAAGCTTACATCTAATTCGTATTATGGAAAGTAGCCCAGCACAAACGAATCTTTAAGCCAGCCAACATTCCCCTATCATGAAAACATATCCTCCCCAAGGAAAAACACCGCACATAAGCAAAATAGTCAATGAAAGAAAGCAATAATAAAGAAATTCAGAAACTATTACTTCTATATAACATAAAGTTGTATGTACTTAGGAAGTAGCATGTAAAAATACTAGAAATATGTACAAAACTTTGCAGGCAATTTGAAGTGATGTTTAAAGAATGCATCAAGAACTAGGGATGTATAACTCAGTGGTAAAGCACTTGTCTGGCATGAGCAAGCCCATGGGTTCAATTCCCAACACCATGAACAAAAACTATCACACACTGTCTCTAAAATGAAACATGAATTCAGGTACTGCATCTTTTAAAAACTGTGCACAAACCTTTTTATATCATTTAAAGCATTTCCTTAAGGACAACAAAGATAACCAAAAGCATCTGTTTCGAAAAACACAAATGTGAAACCATAGTAGCTTTTCATCTTATTGATCTTGCTTAGGTGAATTAATGGGCCAGCTCATTAACACACAACCCCTATGCACAATCTACAACATGAGAAATACAAGTGATGGCAGGAATGAGGATGCCTTATTCCCAAGGTGAGGGAGCCATTCCACTTGTGATGAGGTTTGGTCTACACATTCTTCTGTACTTCCTCACAATGAAAGGTCACACTAGTTTTCATCCGGTAAAATAAGAGTCTCACCAATATTTAAACAGAGTTATTTTAAGAGACTGGAAGAGTTGTAACAACCAAATGCAATATGTGCACACTATTTGAAACTTTATTTCAAGGGGCTGGTAAAGTGATTTTTTTTTTTAAGAAAACTAGGACCCAAAGAATTAACTGGGTATTAAATATGATGGAATTACTGTTACTGTTTTCTGACGTAATTTTGAAGTTAGGGTTAAAAGTCTTGAAGCATTTATAGGTAAAGTGATATGATAGCTGAGATTTGCTTTAAAATACTCAGGTTGGGCAAAGGAGAGTGAGATGAAGAAAAACAGCAAAATGCAGGCCACCTGTCACTCGTATAGAATCCTAGATACTTGGGAGACTGACATAGGATCACTGTTTGAGCCTGAAGAAATAGGTTGAGAGACACTATTCCAAAATAACCAGAGCAAAATGCACTGGATGTGCGGCTCAAGAGGTAGAGCATTTGCCTTGCAATCTCAAAGCTTTGAATGCAAACATCAGTTCCACTCATAAATCAAACAAACAAAAGCAGCAGAATGCTGAAGATGGAGGATAAGCACCTGGAATTCATTCATTATTCTGCTATTTACCTCAGGCTTCACAATAAAGTTTCCAACTAAAGGAGGCCTAAGATTTCACTGATGTAAGTGAAATTTTAGAACATACAGCTTTGTTTGTACTTTTAAACTTGCCATTTATTTTGCAAACACTTAGTTTCACAGATTGTCTGACAAACCCTAGCAAACTGAATTCAAGGATCCGGTTTCAACTGCATCACGAGACACATCAAATATGAAGAGGTACGTTAGAGGTTATGGTGGTTCCAAATGAACAAAGACAAAGAACCTCATTAAATACATTTAACAGGACTGAATTTAAACTTACTTTCTGGGTCCGCAGACAGCAAAACCATAAAAGAAGCATTATTTACAGATTGAGTGGAGGTAACATGTAAGATATCTTCCACTGTTTACATAATTAAAAGAAAAATGAGTCCATGCCTGCCATAACTAAAAAGAGTGTTTTCTCTAGGACCGGAAAGGGTGGAAATATGAGAAGGGTTCCTGGAAGTATTGGCAAGGTTCAATTTCTGACCTAGGCAGTACTAACAAAGGTGTTTCTTTTTTTTTTTTCCTTTTACCTTATTGGCACATATCTTTTTTTTATTCCTTTATTCATATGTGAATACATTGTTTGGGCCATTTCTCCCCCCTGCCCCTTCCCTCTCCCCCCCCACACCCCTTCACTTCCAGGCAGAACCTGTTCTGCCCTTTTCTCTAATTTTGTAGAAGAGAAGACATAAGCAATAATAAGAGAGACATAGTGTTTTTGCTAGCTGAGATAAGAATATCTTCTATACAGAGAGATTCCTACCATTGCTTCTATGCACAAGTGTATTACAACCCAAACTGATTCATCTCCACCTGACCTCTTTATTACTTTCTGGTCACCTTCCCATATTGACCTCTGTCATTTTAAGGTTACTGTATTAGCTCCTCTGCAGTGGGGACATCAAACACTTTCAAGTTTTGGGTTTCCTACCTATCCCCATACCTCCCATATGTGCTCTCCCCTTAGCGTGTGACCCAAGTCCAACAACATTACTGCATTTGCCCTAGATCTAAAGTCCGCATATGAGGGAGAACATACGATTTTTGGTCTTCTGAGCCTGGCTAACCTCGCTCAGGATGATGTTCTCCAGTTCCATCCATTTACTAGAGAATAATAAGGTTTCATTCTTCTTCATGGCTGAGTAAAACTCCATTGTGAATAGCGCTGCAATAAATGTGGGTGTGCAGGTGCCTCTGGAGTAACCTGATTTGCATTCCTTTGGGTATATCCCCAGGAGTGGGATTGCTGGATCATATGGCAGATATACATTTAGATTTTTAAGCAGCCTCCATATTGTTTTCCAGAGCGGTTGCACTAGCTTGCATTCCCACCAGCAGTGTACAAGGGTTCCTTTTCAAAGGTGTTTCTTTATAATTTAATGATAACCTACATATTTGTGTTTTACTGACTTTTCTATATGAACGTTATATTTCACAACTTAGGGAAAACATTTTTCTGTGACAAATCAAGTGAGCCCTAAAAATGTGAGATGCTATTTCATAAACTTCTTTTATGAAGATTTGCTTTCAACTCAATAAGAAGCACATACCTCTTGCCAAATTCATAATGTACCTGTACCTCAAGAGGTAAGCCAGCAGGGTGGAGGATGGCTCAAGTAGTAGAGCACCTGCAGTGTGGGGTCTTCATTCAAACCCCAGTACCACAAAAGAACAAAAAAAAAAAGAGGTGAGCTCAGAAGGAGCAAAAGCCTTTGTAACAACGAACTCCCCAAATTTCAGGGCAGCTGTTCAAAGCTACAAGATGAATGGAGCTCAGGAAGCCATTTCAGCAGCACAGACGCTTGTGCTCTTCTGCCTTTAGTTCCACAGAGAGACAGCTACACTGCAGAAAACCATGACCAACCTCTTAAGGGCCATAAAATGTTGTCTCCATTACAACTTTGTGGTGAAAGAGACCGAGCCCTCACAAGTTCCACAGTACCAGGAACTGCCTATAGACAATACCAGAAAATTACACTAACATACTAAGCTCTTAAAGGTTGGCATTAAGTCCTACCTTCAAGTCCCCTTTTCCCTAGAGGCAGTGATGGCACAGTGAAAGAGTAACCATATCAACAGGCCTGGGTTTTATACAAGTATTACCACTTACATAGAGGTGTTTGTTGAGTCACTCAACCAACATTTGTCTTCACATCTGTAAAATGAGATTAACAGTGTTTCTCTGGATGACCTCTCTCTTAGTGTCATCACAATTATCATTATTATTATTACTACTTGCAGTATGGAGGCCTGAATTCAGGGCATATACCTTGAGTCATTCCACCAGCCCTTTTTTTGTGATGGGTTGTTTTCAAGATAGGGTCTTGAGAACTAGTTGCCTGGGCTGGCTTTGTACTGTGATCCTCCTGATCTCGCCTCCCGAGTAGCTAGGATTACAGCGTGAGCCACCAGTGCCTGGCTTGTTAGTGTTATTTGTAATGATAAAAAATGTACGTGCTGTCTGAAACTTAAAGACCTAAACAATAGGCATAAATCTTATCATTTTTTGAGACCAGGTCTTGCTGTGCAGCCCAGCCTAGCCTTGAACTTGAGATCCTCCTGCCTCAGCCTCCTGAGTGGTATATTTCAGGTGTGTGTCATCACACCTAGCTCAATAAAAATCATTTTAAAAAATATGGTTCTATCCAGGTGCTGTATTTAAAAACGCATACCATCATTAACTTGGTAACAAGTTACACTTCTACCTCCTCTGGTCAGGAAACCTGCCAAAAGGGTTGATATGGGTCCTGCATGAAGAACATCTCACAATTGTACTGAAGGTAACCACAGGCAACTGCTGAAAAAACAGACCAAAGTTTTTCAAGGCAATGATCATCACTTTGAAAAGGGAAACATTAATCTATTCTTCCAGGTAACTACTGGAGCATTATAATTTAGGAGAAAAAAGCATTCCGATTGTCAGGCCAAAAGACTATAAACTATATTGCTGAAATGCATTGATTTTAAACCCTACTTTTCTTTTCCAGGATCATTCACATTAAAATTTTCCTTTTTATTTTCTCATTAAGCACTCATAAAACCAAGATTTAGATATACATCCAAATCAACTTTTTTTTTTTTTTAGTGAAACGGTCTCGCTGTGTTGCCCAGGCTGGCCTGAAACTTGAGATCCTCCTGTCTCAGCCTCCCAAGGGAGACGGCATCCTAAAACAGTAATGAATGAAAGTATTACAAAGGTTTTGATATTATGGGAAGGGGCCTACACTGTTCTCACAAAACAACTATTACAGAAATAATTCTATTTAAAGTTGATACAGACTAAAACTTCTAAAATCTTCCTAATGAAAATCAGTAAGGGGCTGAGGGCATAGTATAGTGGAGAACACTTGCCTAACATGAATGAAACCCTGAAATCGATCTCTAACACCACTCACTACCACTGCCACCACCTCCACAAGGTATCAATAAATGCAATAAAACCCCATTACCAAAAGAAGATTTGCTTTTCAAACTGTCAAGGATTATATAATGCTCTATTTAAATTCCTCAAATATTTCCAGTCATCCATGGGACAGCTCAACTCTCTTAGAACTGCACTGAAGCTCTTATGATGTGACCCTTACAGAGTCTTCAATCTCATTTCCTTTCTGGTCTCTTTTCCTGCACATCCCCTGAGCTTCAGCCAGAATGAATTACTTGCAATCCCTTAAATACACCACGTTTCCTGACTGCAGGCACGCACTCCCACTCTCACCTCTCCATCACTTCTTGAGCACTGACAATCTGAAGAAGTTTCCCAACCAACATGCTAAGCTGCACACTCTTAGCCAGACTCACCACCAAGAGCAGAGTCTCCAAGCCTTTCTTTCTCTGCCTTCCAGTGATCTTCTCCTTGTTGCAACAGGGAGATCACCTTGGGTTCGGTAAATGGAAGTCCTACTCTTAGAAAAATAAGCAAATAAAACACTTAAAAACCAGAAAGACTAAGAGAAATAAGTTACAGAGATCACATGTGTCCTACAAAGTCTAAAATATTTTCTACCTGGCCTTTTACAGAAAAAGTTTGCTGACTTCTTGAAAAGGCAAGTGGGAAAGGGAAGTCCAGAGGCTCAATGCAGTCCTCTGCTGAGAGATGAACAAACAAACCACAGAACAATTGCTGTTAGGACAGTTTTCTCTGAACCATGAAGAAACTTCTAATGTGGAATCATATAGAGGGACAAGGATGACTATCAATACCACCTCCTCCATTTCTGTACACATGTCAATTCCACATGTCTATAAGCTGTATGCTTTCAATATTTATTTACAGAGATCTGACTGATATAAACCTAAGGCAACACTCAGTAAAAATCTTACAATGACCCACAGCTTTTCTTCAGGGAAGAAGGTGCTGAGACCTCCCCATTTCTGAATTCTGTATCTACAGGGAATTTCCTTACCCAGTGCGGCCAGGTGACTGTAGTTCTCCAGTATCATTTCTCAGTAAAAGCTTCTCTGAGAAGGATCCAGCTTTCTTCACTCACCCTGAGTAATGCATGCAGCCATGTCCTCAAACATTATTGACACCTGCAAGGACAAACCATTCCAGCTCACCCAGAACCAACCATCACACAGTAGGGGAGGTGGATAGGGTACCATGAAATGCTACTCATGACATTCAAGGTGCTGAAAGGTCCAGGTCATTTGTTTAATGAATATTTGACCAATGACAAATACACATCGAGCAGCATAAATATGAAACAGCTGTTATAGTTTGGATTTGGAGTGTCCCCCAAAGTTCTGTGTATTAAAGGCTTGGTCCCCAGCCTGGCACTACTGAGCCTGGGTGGTGCTAGAACCTTTAGAAGGTGGTACCAAGTGGAAGGAAGTTAGGGGTGTGCCCATAAGGAAGATAGAGACCTAGCTACTTTTGTTCCTGCATGTTGCTTCCTGGCCACCTTAAGGTGAGCAGCTTGATCTGCTGCACACCATCTGCCATGATGCACTGCCTTGGCACAGGCCAAAAGCAATAGGGCCAAACAACCCTGGACCGAAATCATGAACCAAAATAAACATTGCCTCCTAAGTCGATTATCTCAGGTATTTTGTCACAGTAATGAAGGTAAACTAATACACTGGCCTAGTGTTAGCCACTATGACATATCTCTAGGTAGTAAGGCAACTAGTGTGTTAATTACAATAATCCTTCTAATAAAGATTTGATAATAAATATTAAAAGGCTTAGGAATGTGTGTATTCTTTAACCCACCAATTATTGTATTTGTATGGTAACCAACAACGTATAAAATTGTATGCACAAGAATATTTATTATGTAGCAGTGAAAAAATGGAAGTCATCTAGTCACTGGTGAAGACTAGTTTGAATAAATCAAGACACTGTTTCCTCAAGCTTGAGGACAGTAATTATGAACATTAAAATAGAAATTGAATGCTCATATTTTGAGTATAATCTATTTAGTCTTCACCATAATCCTGTGAAGAAGGTATTACTGTGATCTATAGTTGCACAAGAAAAAACAAAGTTACACAGAAGATTAGAACTCCGCCCAAGTCACACAGCTGGCTCAGTTTTTGAGGTTTCAGCTCATGACTGGTAGGCCCTGTTGCTTCTGGGCCTATAGTGCAGAGCACAAAATAGTGGGCGTGTGAGTAGAGGGGGTCTTTTCACTTCAAGGCTGGGAAGCTAAAGAAGACAAGGCCAACATCCCCTTCAAGGACATACTCCCCAGTGCCCTGACTTCCAGCTTCTTTCCACTTGGCCCCACCAACTTCCTGTAGTGCCATGGGCTCAAGACCAAGCCTTTAACACACTGGCCTTTGGGGAGATTTAAGATCCAACCATAGCAGGGACACTGCCATGCTGTCGTGAGAAAGAGCAGTAACAAATACAAAGTCCTCAGTGCATGCTGGAGACTCACTAAACATTCCGCGTCAGTGTTAGATGAAGAAGAGTAGAGAAAGGACAAGTATTTTCTGGGTCCCAGAAACTCTGTAAAAGAGTTTCTGTTTTTGTAGTTGTTTGTCTTTTGCTGGGAATCAAACTCAGGGCCTTATACAAGCTAGCACATACCCGACCACTGAGCCACACTTCCAGCCCTTAGCAGTTAGGATGAAATCAGTATTATTAACACAGTATCCTTCAACCATGGCTGAATGGTCACTATGGGCCTGGCCATGAGCTAAACACTTTCCATGCACTAACTCATGTCATTCCCTCATCTACCCTAGAAGATAGCACTGATTTTATAGGTGAAGAAACTGATGCACAAAGGGATAGAGTTATTTCCCCAAAGCTCACAAACAGCAACAGAAGAGAGGAGTTAAAAACATCTGTCTGACTTAAGAGCCCCACTTCCTAACCGCTGTGTGCACTGCTTCTCTGCCATAGATGATCATGGAACGCTCCTGTAGCTTACTCTTTATTCCCGGAATAAGAGACCTCTCCTATTGGATCCCCTGCTGTCCTAGGCCCACTCATCTTAATGGGGGAGAGGTTCCCTACAATTCCAACATAAAGATGAAAATGGCAGGCCATTCATTTTTCCCGAGAGTGGCAGAGGCAAAGCATATGATCCATAATGTCCACTGGGAGAAAAAACTAAAAACTAGGGGCTGAGAAATCTGGGAGAGGCATCATGAGGATGCTCAGGAGGAAAGAGAAAAAAAAGCATTCTTGCCAGGGACAGGGAGTAACATGGAGGAGACAAACTGGCAGGGCCAGGGAGGAGTTTTCCCAGGTGTGCATGTTTGTCTGTCCATAGTGATAAAAAGGCACCTGGCATCTTGCTTGTCAAATTAGTAATGATGACACAGATTGAGATTAGTGAACAAAAGTGAACCCTAGAGATGGGAATATCCCCTACACAATCCACCACCCACGAGGGTGGACCAACTCCTGCTCTGTAAAAAGTGGCCTCCAAATCCTGATGGAGGTTGTATTGGGTAGAGAACTTCAGTTAAGTTGGGAAAAACTCCATCTCCATTCACTAAGAACCGAGATGGCAATGAGCTCACATGAGATTGTGCTTCCCTTTGCTCAGGAGCCATGTCCTCTATCTGAGCTCTTCCCCAAGGACGGCTGCAGTGTCCCTCAGAGGCTGGATCGGAGAGAAGAAAAGGGACCAGGAGAAAGTCCTTTTTGCTTTAGGCCCCTCAGAATCAGCAGCTGTCAAATCCTTTTCATCACCACAGAATGACCCCAGGGGTCTTCAGAGAGGGAAGTCAGAAGGAGCTGGGAGTGGACAGGACCAGGGAAGGGCTGGGACCATGGTGGCCCAGGGCCCGGGCCCCACTCTTCTTGGCTCAGGGAATCTCCAGGATCAAGACTAGGAAGAGACCCTGGACTCCATCACTGACCCTCGCCCCATGCCAGGCACCTTCTTACACTGCTTGGCCCCACATTATTGATCCGCATACTGAGGGCAGAGTGGGGCCACCTGCCCCCATTGGCACAATCAATGAGTAGCGGCTCTAGTCTCACTGTCTTCCCCTGCGACAGTCTTCCTCAGCCTCAGCTGCGCCTACTCAATTTCTCTGCCTCCTGCAAATGAATCCATTTCCAGGGTTTTCAAGAAAACCCTTCCAGAAACGGGGAACGGTGGCTTCCCCATGCCCGGCGGGGCCCGGCCACAGAAAAGGAAGACCTGGTTCTGGTTCTGGTCCTGGCTCTGGCGTGGGGGGCGGGCGCCTGGCTCCCCGGGGAGGACCGCGTTTCCCACGCGTGACCGCGGCCGCGGCCGCTCCAAGCCGGCAGCGCGGGCAGGGAACGCGCCGGGACGGAGCTCAGGAGGCGGGAGGCTGCGCTGGGGCGAACCGGGACCGAGCGCCGACCGCACACGTCCAGGCGGCGTCGCGGCCGGCCGGCGGGGCAGTCGAGAGCCCGCGGGGCCACCGCGCCTGCAAACGCCTCTCAGCTGGTCCCGGCCGCTTCCCCGCCCGCATCCTCCCGAGGCCCGCGCCCGCCTCCCGCAATCCCCGCCCCTCCACAGCTCACCTCCCCGGGCTCCGCCGCCGCGATCCGCAAAGGCGAGGCTCCGGAGCCGTGCCACCCGACAGCCGCATAGCTTCGTACTTCACCAGCGGGACATAGGGCCACGAACCCGCGCCAGGACCAGCGCTTGGCCCCGTGAAAGCACACGAAGAGCGGGGTCGCGCGGCCGCTAGTTCTTCTGGGAAATGTGGTCCGGGTGAGGACCAATGCCTTCTGGGACATGTAGTTTCCCGCGTTCGTCTGCCGGGGGCGGGGCCGATCGCTTTGGCTGCTGCTGCTGGGCCCTGGATCATTCCTGAGTTCTCACAGGTCCCGCCTCAGCTGTGGAGCCCTGGGTTCCAGTCACTGAAGGCAGGTTGGCCTAGGTCTGTGTCATCGCTGCATGCTCAGGTGACTGAAGGTGAGGCCAGCAGATGGTGACTCAGGGTAGACTCCCGTCCCCTGCAGTTATCATCAAAGGGCTGTTGAGCACCTACTAGGTGCAGGCATCATGGAAATCCGTTCGAAATAAGTTAACCGACAAAACGAACACCATTGCTCTAGGTGGAGTAGACAGGAAGTCACAGAGATAATTGCACAGCACTTCAGAGGATCCCTGTTACCGGGAAAAGCAAAGGAAGCGCAGAATTGGGGTTTCTGGGGACAATTTGGGAATGTGAGCTGGGTGGCCTGTCAGGTGAGAAGGAGCAAAGGTTCCCAGTCGGGGCCTGGGGAGGCGCATTCCAGGTACTGGGAACCAACAGACAATTTATTCTTAAGTAAATACTTTGTTACAAGAAAAACAGAAGGCTCGCCAAATACCAAAGAGGTAAGAGAAAAATGCTCTCGGTGCCATTAAGCAGAAAATTAGTGATGTCGTTTGATTAACTCCTTGTAACAGACCTTTGAGTTCTACATTAATCTCAAAGTCAGTCACTGTCGCTCTCATTTTAGCATAAGAGAATATTACAGATAGAACTTGTCACCTATCTTGTTTTGACCTCACTGAGAAATATGCCTTGGACACTGGAATTTGCCAGTTAATATTCTCTCAGTAGTGTTTCTGATAGCTTCAGTGTATTTACTACATTTAGAAGTATTTAATAACAATATTCAATACATATTACTAACCCCCTTGTGCTATTTATTTATATTATTTTCAGATTCTTTTTTGCATTGTTAATATCCTTGACTTATATCTTTGAAGATTATTTTCTTAAACTCTTTGAACTTGAATTGCTGGATCAAGGGTTTGTAGAACTGTCACACATTTAAGTACACTGCCAGATTTTCTTCCTGAAAGATTTTACAATTTATGTTTTCATGAGCGCTTGCTGACATTATGTGCCTTGTGCTCCCACCCACTCTGTATTTTCTTTTATTGCTTTTATTTGATAGAGCAAATTTTGTTTGAACATGTAAATTTAAGTTATGTGAAATTTGTTTTAATAAAAATTTTATCTTGTATTTATATATAATTTTAGTTACTTGGAAAATTAAATGTGTTATATATTTCTTCATCATCTAGATACTTTCTGATTTTTTTTTACATATTATTGTACTAGGGGTGCACTGTCACATTTACAAAAGTTTTTACAATATCTTTGCTGTTTAATTGCCTATATAGGTGTCATGTTAGCTTTCCATCATTTTAGTAAATATTTAGGATAATTAGCTTATAAGAGAAAAGGTTTATCTTTAGGCCTCACAGTTTTAGATGTTCCTGTCTAGGACCAACTGTCCCCATTGCTTTTGGGCCTATGGCAAGGCAGCACAACATGGTGGAGAGCTTGCGATGGAAGAAGCTGCTCAAATTGTGCCTGGGATGTAAAAGAAAGAGACCTGGGTCCTTCTATCCTCTTCCCGCACCCACCCCCAATGATGGGAAGTCCTCCTGCTAGGCTCCATCCATTAAAATTGGCACCACCTTCCAATAGTGCCTGAAACTGGGGACCAGGTCGTTAACACAGGGGCCTTTGGAAGACATTCCAGATCCAAGCTTGTTATGGTTTGGATATAAAGAGTCCCTCTTCCAATAGGCTCATGTGTTGAAGGCTTGGTTCCTGGCTGGTGGCGCTATTTTGGGAGGTGGTGGAAACTTCAGGAGGTGGACATAGGTAAGGAAGTAGGTCACTGGGAGTGCATCATTGGGGCTGTACCTTGTCCTGGGTCCCTCTCTGTCTCTACTTCCTATCTGAGGTGAGCAACCTCTGCCATATGCTCTGCTTCACACAGACCCAGAATCAAAGGAGCCAGAGTCAGAGGTGGATGAAACCTCTGACACTAGGAGCCAAAACAAATGCTTCTTAAGTTGATTATGTCAACTGTTTTTTCACAGTGATGAAAATTCTAGCATAAAACTATAGTAGGTATATTGACCATTTCCTATTGAAATGTTCACATTTCTTTCTTTTATATAGATGAAGAAAGGATTTGGAGAACTCAGTATCATATATCCTCTGGATCTTTGGTTAATGTGTTTATTAAACTTTAATTTTTGAGATAATTTTTCATGCACATGCAGTTGTAAAAATAATCAGAAGTTCCTATGTATCCTTTGCCTAGGTTCCCCATGGTGATATGTTGCAAAGATGTTCTACAAAAGAACACATTGGGGGTTGTTTCTTTTTTAATTTCTGGGACAGGGGTTTGTACTCAGGGCTTCACACTTGCAAAGCAGGTACTCTACGGCTTGAGGCACACCTCCAGTACATTTTGCTTTGGTTATTTTGGAGATGGGACTGTTTGCCTAGGCTGATCTTAAACCTTGATCCTCCTGATCACAGCATCCAAGAAGCCTGACTGCAAATAAATTTCGGATGTTGATTTTGTATCATGCAACTTTGCTGAATCCGTTTATTCAAACAATTTTTGCATTTGGGTTTATCTGTGAACAGAGTTAAATTTACTTCTTACATTCCATTCGATGTCTTTTGTGTATTTTTCTTGACTTGTTTCTTTGCTTTGCCTAGAACTTTCAATGGTGGGTTGAAGAGAAGTGGGGTGAGTGGCACCTCTGTCTCGTTCCTGGTCCACAGCATGGACCACTTTATGGCATCCGCCTTCTTTTTCTTTAGTGTTTTCAGGGTGCACTCGAGCAACTATTTTCATGTGGTGACACAGCTCATCCTCAGTGACAGACATTGTTGATAGTCTTGATTCCTGTTTGCATGAATGCCTGACATTTCTCTCTTCTGATCCCTCAGCAATTCACTTAGGCAGGCAGGGCAGGTCTTGCCTTGACCTACAATTGGGGCTCCAGACGGGTCCCCAAATGACCTGCACAAGGCTAACAGCAAAGGCTGGAGTGTGTCTTCAAGCGCGGTAGAGCACCTGCCTTGCAAGTGTTAGGCCCTAGGTTCAGTCCCCAGGACTGCCACAGATCTAAAGAAATTATCAGTGTTTTTTGATGTTTCATCTTTCCCTCTTACCATCCCAAAAGGCTAACATTAGAACCTCACCAGACAAAATCTTCATGCGTTGTCGAATGAAGGCTCCTCGTGTGATACCAAGCTCAGAAGGACACTTAGATTTGCAGCTCATGCCTAGAAGAAGTCACCATGACAACTTCTGGTAAGTTCTTTTTCATTTTCATTCATCTTTAAGGTTTTCTAATATCTTTTGTGATTTCTTCTTGGATCCATTGGCTGTTTAAGAATGTGCTGTTGTGTCACCCCTGAGAAAAACAGAGTGTCAGCACCGAGTAACTTGTCCCTGAAACACCCCCTTTCCATCCCCTGAGACTCCTGCCAAGTCAAGGGGACAGTGACAGTGGGCCAAGACTGGAACGCTGGGATAAGGCCACCTGGAGGGCCACTGACTCCCTGTCATGCACATGAGAGTGAGGGCAAACTAGTGTTATCTAGAAGAGCTCTGCCTCCTGCTCACCTGCTAAGTCAGCTATTCCAGGGAGTGCTGTCCACACAAAGCAGGCTGAGCTGATGGTGTCAAGGCTATGTAGTCTAACCTTTAACCCCTGTCCCTGTGGAAATCAGGGATCATAAAGGAGCACAGTGGAGAGGACAAATGCTTTTGGTCCAGCTGGCCACCACTGGTAGTGTGGTGGGGGAGGATGCGCATTACTGGCAAGGCACCACGGGACAAAGGTGCTGCTTGCCTAGTCTGTGGTCACCACTGGATCTTAGCAGCACTAAGCCTGCATGGTTTCTGATGAGAAGTCAACTGTTAGTCTAATTGATGATCTCTTGTATAGAAGGAGTTGCTTCTGTCTTGTTGCTTTCAAAATTCCCTGTTTGACTTTGGGTTTCAGGAATTTTACTACTGTGTGTCCTAGTATGGGTGTTTGAGGTTATCTTGCTTGGAAGGCGTTGATCATCTTCACTGAGTTAATTCATGTCTTTCATTAGATTTAGAAAGTTTTTGCCCATTGTTTCTTCAAAATCTTTTTTTCTTTTTCTCCTTTCTTCCTTTTCTTTTTGGAGTTCCTATGATGTATAGGTTGGTATGCTTGATGATATCCCATAAGTCTCTTGTCCCCTGTTCATTTTTCTTATCCTTTCTTCCTGCTCCTCCCTAGATAATTTTAACTGTTTTCAGATTACTGATCTTCTTTTGCCTGGTTAAATCTGCTTTGACCCCTCGGTGAAATTTTTACTTCAGTTATTGTACTGCCAGATCCTGAATTTGTCTTTTATAACTTCTGTTTGCTGATGTTCTCATTTTGTTCATACATCATTTTCCTAATCTCCTTTCATTTTTGACCATGTTGTCCTTTGACCCCCTGAGAAAAATCCAAGGCAGTTCACTTCACAACTTTTGCTAGTAATTATGCTGTCTGGGCTTCCTTGAGATGATTTCTGTCATATTTTCTCTTGTGACTGGGGAGAACTTTCCTGTTTCTCTGTGTGTTTTGTAACATTTGTTAGGAATTGGACACCCTGAATACTATAACTTGCAAAGTCTGAAAATCACATTCTT